CTGGACAACATACTAAGGTCAGGTTATAATGTAGGAAATCGTGCATTTTGTTTATTCTTCTTCATTTTCATACTTATTTGCGATCCTGTGGTATTCACTATCAATCCTAAGACAAAAAATTTCCCCATCTCTATATCGGTAAGGCAGAATTCACTTTCTATTATTCTAAAGACCTGACCCGCATGCTATGTAATTCATCCACACATGATAAAGCAAAACTTGTGTGTGTGTGTCTGTGTGTGTCTGTACATATGCATATATATGCACATACACATATATACATACAAACACACACAAATATATATATATATATATAGATAGATAGATACATAGATAGATAGATAGATAGATAGATAGATAGATAGATAGATAGATAGATAGATAGATAGATAGATAGATAGATAGATAGATAGATAGATGGATAGATAGATAGATAGATAGATAGATAGATAGATATAGATATATATAGAGATATATATAAACCTTTATATATATATAATATATATATATATATATATATATATATATATATATATATATATATATATATATATACATATTTGTCTGTGTGTGTGTGTGTGTGTATGTGTGTGTGTGCATACATATATATATATATATATATATATATATATATATATATATATATATATATATATATAGATAGATATACATATATATATATATATATATATATATATATATATATATATATATATATATATATATATATATATATATATGTCGTGGCCAGCTCCGTCATCAGACGCAGCTCCCCCCGATTGTTCTCATCTTCTATCAACTCGTCGTGGATCTACAACCAACCTCATGCCGTGACGAAATGTTCATGTATAATTATGGAAATTTGTTAAAGGCGCGAGATGATAGTTACTGCTACAAATTAGAGCATGGGGTCCACATTAAAGAAAATTATACTTTTGGGGGACTATTTTTAATTTAGGGTATTCGGTTTGAAAGTACTTTTTATCCATCAACTTTCTAGATGCGATTCCTTAGCCATTTTGATGGGTTCTTTATATATATCGTTTATTTAGTTTTTATTTTTGCTTTGGTATTTTATATTTTCTTAATGCATTTTGGTTCTAAGTATTTCCATTTTAATTCCTATATTTTATTAATTTTAGAATGGTTAGTTTTTAAGTCTAGGGATATTTTATCAGAGCACATATGCAAATTTTTACTTCTTAAAATGTGGGGCACCCGCGAGAGAACCGTCGGCCAAGGAAATGGGCGGGGTCAAAGTTGATCTAGCCACCTTAGGTGGTGACGGTCGGGTCTTCGGCTCGAGGGGGTGATTGGGGCAAGGAGGCCGGAGAGACAGGGTTCAGCTGGTCGGCGTAAGTGGTCGTGTACGCGCAGTGGTAGATAGGTCGTAGTGGGCAGGCTGGCAGTTTAGAACCATCATTAGGAAATCCCAGTGCCTCTTTATTTTATATTGTCCTTCATCTATGTTATATTGTTCCTTATTGTATTTTGTGCTTTTAAAGTAATTTCAATTTTTATTTCTTAATGCTGAAGTAACCCCCCCCCCCAGGGTTCAACCATTTACCATTTTACTGTTTTTGATTTTTTAAAAATATATTCTCTTGATTTGAACCCTTATTAATGTTTCTATGAGTTCCTCACCAAAGTGATTATTATTGTAAAGGTAAAGGAAAGGCAATGGAAAGTGTGAAGTTAAAAGGATCGGCGGCTTGGAAATATTGAAGATATAATTCAATTATACTCTGAGATTTTATAGGTAATAATAAACCTTTCACTAAGAATATACGCCTGTAAAGGTAAACAAAAGGGACTATAATGAATCGATAAATAACGAGGAAATAAAAACCTAATGATAAAGACCCTCAGTAATAACGATGACAAATGAAAGGAATGACCGATTTTCAACTTGGAAATAATAAATTATAATTAAAAGTCATTACCTCCTGAAATAGTTAATGGGCTTAAAATATAAGTTCAGGTGCTAAAATAATGTAGAAGGTTCGATTAAACGAGGTTCCCTTGCCGGAGAATTTGTTTATCGACAAATCAGAGTAGGTATGTTTGAAGAGTCTAAAAAAGGGAAACCAGTGATTTGACCATTGTGGACGCTCGATCACTAAAGACCCCGCGCACGGTGACGCTGGTTGGCTTGTTAACGGAGGAATCCCATACAAACGCTTGTTGTGAACGATCGCAGAGGGATTTCGTCTAAACACTGTTACTTGCCGCTCATATAACCCTCTGTTGGGCGAAGCATTAAGGTACAGCAACGAAGTTATCTGCTTACGCCTTTCTGTCTTGGTTCCCCGTACCTAGGAGATATAGAGTTCAACATAAAACATGGGAAGGTCAGAAATGAGAGTGGAAGAGAAGTCGGATAGTAAATTAAGAGCTTCCTAATTACACCAGAACAAAGTGAGGTGTGCTTGCGTGCGCGTCCTCCCCCTCGGTTTAAACACGCTTACCAACTCTGTCATACACGTACTCCACACACACA